CGAATGCCAAGTTATTATCCTATGCTTGTTCTCCAAAGGCTTCCAAAGCTGAAAAAATCACATTTTACGTGATAACTCAATAAAATCAGTGAAATCACCCGACTTTCATAACAAAATAATGTTTTTTACCTTTTTCAAAATAAAATCAACTATGCATTAAAACTTTTTATTCATGCCAGTTTTAATTATTTTTCCAATATTTTTACTATGCATTACTATACAGGGGCGTCGCGTTGGGGGGGGGGTACTGGGGGTAATTACCTCCCCCAGGATCGAATTATCAAGAGAAAAATCACGATGCCAAAAAGAAAATACATTTAATATATTGAAGAAAATACATTTTTAATTTGTTTTATTTTTTTCACAAATGAAATAATTGTTCTGGAAAAGTGAATGACCTTGAAATTTGCGAAAAATTTAGCCTTCGGCGCGTTTTTGGAGGGCGCCCCCTCAGCCCCCCGTACCATTTACCCCCCCCAGACTACTGGTCACGCGTCGCCACTGTTACTATAACTGATAAAACTACTTATAAATAAACCCCTGTATTCAAACTTTGTATTTACAAATTCCCAAGATGTCAAACAATGACAAATAAACATACCTTGCCCACAGATCTTGTCAATGGCTTGTCAAGAAAAAAAAAAACACCAGCTCCTTTTGGAAAGCGTTCTTCATACAGGGGTTCATTTATAAGTACCTAGTTTTATCATTTATAGTAGTGCATTATACAAATAATAAGAAAATAATTAAAAACTAACATAAATGAAAAGTTTTAATGCATAGTTGGTTTTATTTTGGAAAAGGTAAAAAACTCTTGTTGTGAAAGTTGGGTGATTTCACTGATTTCATTGAGTTATCACGCAAAATGTGATTTTTTCAACTTTGGATGCCTTTGGAGAGCAAGCAAAGGATAACATCTTGGCACTCGCATTTTTCTATGATTGTGTGGGTTGAAAATAACAATTTTAAGACCTCTCCGTCACTTTCTGTTCAAAAATAAATTTTCATCCATAGTTCTAAAATTTCTTCAAAAATGTTCAAATTTGACGTTTTCGTACACATCATGATCCGCAGATACCAAAAATGCGAAAAAATTATTGGGATGCCATTCAAAATTACGGAGTTAGGACCATTTCCGGTCAAACCGGAAGTTACCAAACATTGACACACATGTCAAAATATGACATTTCTCAAACCTACACTCTATACCAAAAATCTTTGCCGTCGAAAAAAAAACCAGCAAATGCCAGCGCGAAACTGATCTCGTAGACACCCGGTATATGAATATATTGCAATCAGAATGAAACATATTATCAAACAAACTAAAAATGTACTGGGTGTTCCATTTAATAAAATGCTATTTTTGGGCATAACTGTCAAAATATATTAGTCTTTTGTTTTTTGTCCACCCTATCTAAAACTTGGAAATCAACCCTACAGTATGTTTTTTTATTTTTTCAAATAAATTTAAAAATAAAAAAAATATGAGAGTTTAAAATGTTATCAAGAAAAAATGACCACACTGTACATTGGGGTTAAATGGCCATTTACGAAGGTGCTGCATTTAGTAAGCTTATTTATTAATTTACATTTTATTACTGGTAATTGTTATACAATACTCTTTATTTTTTTATTTCGGGACTCAAGTTGAGTGTAATTAATAATTGACCTTTTCAATTTAAAAGCCTCTCTCTCTGGCGTCAAACTGTCAGACGCGAAAAGAGTATGAAAACAACGGTTGACAGCCGCTCAAGACTTTTGTACATGTGGAAACTGGAAACTATTATTTCCTCGGTTTTTTCAAAGTTTTTTCCTAACAATGGTGATTGTGTAGTGTACCTTTTGTAAAAATAATTCCTATTTACCGGCGGACGTGTCTTTCCATAAGTTTCCATCAAATCCTACATTTATCAAACTTTGGATACATAAAATCAGAAAGAATACTCGCAAAAAAAAGGGAAATCCATGGCCTATCAAGTATACAAAGTAATCCACGTTCAGGTTCAGTTTGCGGGAGTTGTTTGCTTCCAAAATAATCCACCGCTTTCTCCATAGCGAAGTTCTGCAAATGAAATAGTGACTTTTCCCACATTTTCTCTCAAAACACCCAATACACACTGGCATTGACAAGCAAGCAAATGTTGGCGGGAAAATAATTGTTTTCATACTTGTCCATCTCTTTTAATTGAAAACGTCAATTATTGTAAATACTATTTTAAGAACATAAGGTAAAGTACTTCTAGAGGATTTCTTTTCTTGTTCTGGTTCCAGTGTAAATAATTTTCAGTGTTCCAGGGCGTTCGGAAAACCCACTTCGAACCTGCTCTAAAGTCAACCTGTTCTGGTTCTAATTAAAACCCGTACCTGATTGTAGCAAAGCGTTTTACTTTTGTCCTTCCTTCTTGTTTACGTTTATATTTCAGGTTGTGCTGCTTTAGGTCCGTAGAAGTTTCCTGCTTTCGTTATAAAGCAGGTGGCGCTCTATATTTAATTATCTGATTGATCCACACCCGTCTCCGCATTGGAAGCTAGTCGGCAACCCTTCACACAAAATCACGTTTCTAGATTTCAGCCACCAACCAACCCTATCTTTCTATTTTCTTTTTGTTTTAGTTACCCACTATTCAGTCACTCCCTCAAAGATTATTATTTACCTTTCAATCGGTTTTGCGGGTAACAGGGTAGACGGGACAAATTCCGGGGTCCGTAAGACTTGGGGGGCCTGGATTTTTATTGGGGGACCAAAAAAAGGGGGGCCCATTATTATTTATTTGGGGGACCAAAAAAAAAGGGCCCGTTATTTTTTTTTTTATGGGGCCCGCCGACCCGGCTCCCGGTGGCCCTGTGGAAACTTCTGGCTTTGAGGAAATTAATGAAAATTTTGACGAGAGATAATGGCAGAATAAATTTGTCATGAAGCTGGACTATGGGCCTTTTCGGAAACACTGATCCGTTTAATCCGATCACCAGCTGTTTGTCTTTTTTAACTTTCTTAAATGAATACGATTGAAAAAAGACAAAGGATGTCAGCTGGTGATCCGGTTAATCAGATCAGCGTTTCCGAAAAGGCCTATTGTAATGTGACCTTTGAAATTGGTATCACTGTTGTCAGCTGTGGTTGTCAGTCACAAAACTTGTCAGTTTCCATGCTCTAGGAAAATAATTGATACTGAGGTATTCATTTAGAATGCGAGTAAGGGTAGGTTTTAAAATAGTTATTTGTTTTACTAGGCAGAAAAGTACAAGATTTAATGCCGCGGCTGGTGTTTCATAGCCGAGGCTAGGAAACCAGCCGAGGCATTAAATCTGCTTTTCTGCCATGTAAAACATATAATTTTTTCTCCGAATGTTCAAATTCACATATGGACATCTTTTTTATATTTATTTCATTCATTATTATTATCTAAATAATTAAATTATTTTGACAATTATTATCATTGTCACCATCAATTTCAAATACCAAATTGAGTGAAATTATTACCTGGAACGTTGTGACACTGTTACTTTTAATGCCTAGGCAGTAAAAATACAACTTTTGATCCTGTCAAGTGTCATTAAAAAGCCACTTTTACTGTCATTCGGAGAAAAACTCTATTAGGTATAGTCTGGCTAGCCAAACGGCGAACTCCAAAAGAATTTGCTGCTTAGCCAAACTTGACGGAAACAATGATAAACAAGTTGGTGACATATTTTTTTTGCTGTATGGGCATGTGTAGTATTTCGAAATAGAAAAAAATCCAGCAACATTGCGAAATGATGGATGTAGAGAGGCGTGATTATTCAGAGGCATGATTCTATTGGTTAGAGTCTGAAGGACAGCAGGCAGTGGCGTGGATATTGGCGAAACTAGAGAATTTTTTTCTAATAATTTAATTGGTTTATTTCCTTGGTGTTTCCGGTGCCACTGAACCGAAAGCCATGGCTGTCATCAGGCGGTGTCAGTTGAGGTGTCAGTGGATGTTTTTAGGTTACGCCCCAGTTTTCTTCCCCCTTTCGTCTCTACCAAGTTACCACTTGCCAAACTATACTAATATCATCATAACCAGAGGCTTTCTTGCTGACTGAACGGGTAATGAAAAATTTTACTTCGTCGGTAGAAACAGGAGTTATTATATCATTCAAAGGGATAGGCAGCCTACAGATCTCTCTATAGCGCCTGTCTACGTGTTCATGATAAATATCGTCATCAGGGTCTTCGTTTAGTGAAAATTTTGACTGAAGTGTCAGCGTGCTTTTTCTTGATTAGAATACACCAAACTAGCTCTACCATGAATGGTGGGAATTTGAATTTACCTATTTTTCTTATTTAGAAGAGAACAACTCATTTTCCATAATATGGAGCTAACCTCAGGGGACAAGTCAGCTAGTAGATCACCCTATTTTAATAATAATAATAATAATAATAATAATAATAATAATAATAACAATAAATGGCTTTATTGCAATTTATCAGTTCACAAGATCCAGATATATAATATTTAACAAACATTTTAGAATTACAAATGGCGGAGTTGAAGCACAGCTTCCTATCTCAACCAGAGCACAATAGTGCAAACAATATATATCCTGTTCACAATCCGATGTCCACAGGTTCAGGTAAATTTATCACCTTTCCCTATCAAATAGCATTGAAAGGTGAACAATGGTATTACTTTCAATCATAAGTCTATCGCAAGTTCTTAGACTAGTACCTAGCACGGGTGTTAGTATAAAAAAAAATATACGAATACACAAATATAAAGAATATAGAAAAAGATACAAAGTATAAAATATACCTAAGGGAAATGTTAAACACCGAGTTAAACATAAACACATTATACAGGCCAGAGAGACAATGGGGGTGATGGTACGAGCTCAGACAAAAAATTTAATATTTTGTCTAACAAATTGCTTAAAATTATACTCAGAGGTTGTTTTGTAATCAGCAGGAATTTTATAGTACATTTTTGATATTTGGTAGCTGAATGATCTCTCATACATGGATGTAGCATGCATGGGAGGACTTATTGTAAATTTGTGTCGAAGCTCCATGTTATGGGCATCATACCGAAACTTAATTTTATCATACAGATAGTCAGGACATCTTTTACAAATAAATTTGTTAAACAGAACCAAACTATGTAGTGCGCGTCTTTCATTCATTCTTAGCCATTTAATTTCGCACAACTTGGCACTCACACCCCTCTCACGGCCCCTAATACCACCTATCAACCTGACACACGAATTCTGCATGAGCTGAATTCTTTTGGCATCGGAAACCAGCAGACAGGGTCCGTACAGTACATCGCAGTAGTTAAAGTGAGATAAGACAATGGAGTCGCATAACACTTTCCTAAGATTCTCATTAAGCAGGGCTCGTTGGTTAAATATCAGTTTGAAGTTGGCAAAAGCTCTGTTGACACAGTTATTAATATGCCCTGAGAATCTTAGATCAATGTCCATGAGTAGACCCAGATTTTTTGCCGTACCACATGCACTTAAAACCAGGTTGCCAAGTCTTATTTTTAAAAGATTCAGGCTTAACACGTCTGGTGGGATATGATTGGCTTCAAGATGCGATTTGAATTGCGAATATTTGTTAAAGGAAAAAGTGTAGTGAGAGTTGACATCTTGGACCTGATCACAATCTTTAAGACTAATTGGATTGTGGTCGGAGCTAAGATCGTAAATATTGCCAATAATAATAGGGGACATTTGTGGATAGAGCAAAGTCTAGAATATCAGGGGTAATATAATGACAAATGAGTTGGCAAGATGCTCTATTTTTGCCATTGAAGATGCCTGCAGCTATAGTTGAAGTATCAGAACCGAAGGAAAGGTTCATATCATCATGGGTCAAGCGTTTAGAAGGAAGTTTATAAACAGCGTAACCTATTTCATTCAAAATAATGCGCAGATAATTTTGACTAAATTTAGTAAGAGCGCGAGTGTTGACTCCTTTATACGACTAGTTACGAAAATCATCTGGTTCATCATAAGGTTCTCTCAGCAAATCATCATGAAACTGCAATTCTCTTTGCAGCAAGTAAGATTTCAACAATCTCCTTTTTTTTCCTTCTAGGTTTCTTATCAAAACTATACTAAGATAATAATAATAATAATTCATCAATTTCCATTTATTCACAAAGAACCGAAAATTATGTTACCAATGGAACTTCATATTAATCAGAGGAGAACTAGAACTATGCAAATAAATAACTGATGCGATTACTAGGAATCCACAAAACTAGAATGACTCCACTTCATCAAGCATGGAACGGGCAACAAGAACTATTGGACCATCAATCAATAACTCTCAATGAAACAGGAATAGATACATTCGTGTCCCTTTTCCTTCTGACTTATAGAAGCTCTCATCATGAACCACCTGTCACAAAGCTGGGTTGGCAATCAAAATTGACTGGATTTAATCCAGGTCGTTACTCTTATTGAAGATAAAAAGATTTCAAAAGGACGATGTCCAGATTATACATTGAAATTTGTTAAAATTCAGGAAATCCTTCCTAATCCACATCAGTTGCCACCCTGCCTTTATCTTCTACCTAGACCATAAGGATTTACCATTTCTCAATTTTGTTCGATGCTAATATAAGCACTACCAATTGCCATTTTTCAAACTGTTCCATATTCTATAGAAATTAGGTATATTATCTAAAAATGCCACCAAATAATAAAACAAAATACATATTACTAAATGTTTTTATTTTGTACAAAATAAATAAATAGTTTTTTTAAAACCATCATTTGATTGATTATTCAACTTTTCTCAATGAAACATATTTTTCTCGATATTTTTTTTACCTATAAATACATAAAAAGTTTCTGAAGTCTTAAAAAACATATACACAAAATACATGCTATTTTAGTAGTAAGTAGCTAAAAAGTGATTAAAGTATGTGAACCTTCAAGTAGTTGATAATATAAGTAGACATTGAAAAGAAATACATTTTATTCAGTAGTATTTATTGGACCCCAACATCAATAAACATTTAACTACTATTTATAGTTAATAGGACAAAAAACAATTATTGTGTAAAGTCATGAGAAATTACAATAATTAACATGCTATTTAAGAAAGTATACATTTTAAAGCCTTTTGCGTATGTATCAGAAATCACAATAACTAAAGTCACATTTTCATGTGCCCAAAAGTTGGCATCATTTTTTAGTAGGTATTGTAGTCTTTTTTGCAACTTACAGTATTTACAATAATTACAAATTGAAGAATGTCAATAATAATAATCATTATTAGCCTCTTAGTTTTTCATTAACTGAGCCTATTTGACTCTTTAGTCCATTTTGTTTCATAAACTCAGCATTACTTGGCTAGGCTAAACCCAAATTTGTAAGTCAAAACTACATAAAATAGATACATAAGTATATATTATTATTAGTTCATGAAAATGACCAAAGTTATTTGATAAATTCATGTTATCACTCACTACTATTTTAACAAATTATTGATCCTTTTTTATTAGCTATCTACTATCAAATATACAATATAATATCACACTTTCTAATTTAACAATGATTTAAGTATGCAGATTCCTTTGAAATAATTCAGGGATGTTTGAATAATAATTCTAACTCGCCTGCATGAAGAAAATATAATTTTTTATATAGGTACCAAAATGATGCAACTTGATTTTCTATTGAAAATAAAATTATTCAAATATGTATCTTCATAAGCAATGATAGCTGATGGCAATAACAAATAGATGACACCTTATTATTCAATGATTACATCAACTACCACAATTCAATGACTTTCATCCAAAATGCAGAATAAAATTCATAGTCAGCAAATAAGTAAGTTCAAGCTTGATAAGGATAAAATTAATGGTGGTTTCTTCAATTGGATTCAAGCGATTTTTGAATCTTAGAAACATAAATGATAATTATATATGTTCAAAATAACACAAAAATAAGAAGTTTCCAACAACCCCCCAAGATCTTATTAGATAAACTAATTATGTGTAATTTAAAAATGCAAATTAAATACTGTAAGATTACTGTTTCATTTCCTACTGGCGAAACTCATTACTCAGTAAGTTTATTTAGCTAAGAGCTTCGAGCCATTTTCCACTTGGTTCGCATACTTTGATTTGATTTATTATTCTGATAAGTTAAGTCTTTTATCACTTCAGTCAGATTCTAAGAGAATTTTATCGAAAGGGAAAAAAGGTAAAATTAGATTTTCCGAATTTTAATTTTGCAATAGAAAATCTTAATCAATCTTTGGTATATGTATTGCCAAAATACAAAATATGATCAATGTTTTCTGGGAAAGAGTCATTAGATATTTTTTTTTTCTGGATGAAAGTGTCATTCTTAGTCTTTTTAGGTGCTCAAAACATTGAAGCACTTTAGTACATTATTCTCTTTTTTTTTGTTTTAACACAATGAAGCCACCAAAAATTATATTAGCACAAATTAAATAGCATACCTATTTACACAACCTATATAAGGACTTACGCCAATGACTTTGTAACACAAATAGAGGAAAATTATCTATACATATCAGTTGCCAACACTCTACTGTTGAGTGAATGCCTTTTTTTGCCCTTCAAATAAGGATGTCAACATAAGTACATTTTATCAACCATCTATTTGCGTAAAAATGTCATTAGTTTCAACTCGCAACCAATGGCAGACCCATATTTATGGACATCCGACTTATACACGCAACTATTACTCCCTATATACAGTCATTTACAAATATCACAGCAAATCCTTGATGGCACCACCAAACCATACCATCACCATTGGTAATAAGTATGATAACAACGCTCTGGTGAGCGACATATCAGAGTTCGTATTCGAACTGGAAGTCCTTCTAACTTCTGGAATAAACGTGCTACTAATTGGAGGCGGAGTGGAGAATGATTCGTCGATAACCACAGGATCTTCTTCATTATTTTCTTTGGGAGTGTCTTCTTCGTCCATTCCGTCACCAGAACCTGAACCGCTTCCGTCAAACGAGTCTTCAGTGTCATCGACAATTTCGACGTCCTGGCCGTGATAGGCTTTGCGCAATTTGTCCGTTAGGGTGCTCAAAATGTAAATTTGTCCGGTGATTAGAGTGTCGGTTGGTGTCGAATCTAGTTTGGGTTTGGGTTTCTCGTAAATACCGATTGTGGTACCGTTCCAGCATTTACCATCGTCGCTTGGACCTGCTGAAATGGTGTCGTTATTGCAGTATTGGTAGGGTAGTTGAATCCAGAAGTTTTTGGTGTTTTTAATTTTCTGAAAAAAGAAAAACATATTAAATATCTTATTCAAATTGGAAGTTGGTTTATTTCACTATGGGTATGGGACAGAAAGTACAAACTCATTTTTAACAAAAATTTGCTGACGTATATAGGTATAATCAATCCAAAGAATCAATATTCTTATTTATTGTTCTTGAGAAAATTCTTTTCACAATAAATTGAAAGCGAAGCCTTCTTCGGGATCCGGGTAAGGGGTATTCGGAGAACTAGCACCCTTGCCTGTCCGGAGGTATAAACAAATACATCAAAAACACATAATAGAAGATGTAGACGTCTTAGGCTCATTCACGACTGGCAGAAATTAAGCACACATACCAGTAAAACACACACAAAAATAATTCATAACAAAGTTAACACAAAAACTGAAGAAAGGCCCCATAAAACCCCATGAAGACATAAGGCAAATTAATAAAAGAATAACGAAAACAATAAAAGAAACAGCAAAAAAATTTCATGGAACCGAGTAGGCCAGAAATTTTTAGCAGAGAAACAAAACAAATGCTGGAGAAGAGAAGAGAACTCATATAACAAGGAAAAAAAGATACACCAGAATACAGAGAGACTAACAAAATAGCCAGAAGGATGACAAAACCAAACATTAAAAACTACCAAGAAGCACAAATCGAAAAACTGATAGAATAACAAAAAGGCTTGAACAATTTGAAATGAGAGAACGCACACAAAAGAGAAATCAGAAAGCATACAAGGAATTATTATAGAAGTCAGAGATGGAATATTGCGTGTAACGGAAAATTTCTATAAGGAACTATACCACTCAAGAAGCAACAACGAAAATAACAAAAAAGAAATCGAAAGCGAAACATTCAAAATTTTAATCTAAATAATGTTGGGTCAGAAGATATATAGAAGAAGAAGAAATTGCAAAAGCGCTAAGCCAATTGAACAACGGAAAGCCCCAGGAATGGACGATATATATTACCTACATAGGCGATAGAAATATTGAATTATTATGTTCAGTTGACATAGTATACCAGTACAATTCTGAACATGTAGTAATGTAATGTCATGTTGTAAAATTAGGTTTTTGGGTTTTTTCTTTTGTGTATTTTCATCATAAAAAAATAGTAAATTAAATAAAACGTAGTGTGTTTCTGTATTGTGCTTCCACTATAACATCCAATAGGTTATGGGCCCAGTACCAGTCAGTGCAGTTTCCAGTGTCTTAACCAAGGAATCAAGGAAGTAGAAAAAGAAAAACGAAAAGGAAATTTTTCGCACAAAGGAATTTAAACAAAAAATGGCTGGGAAACAGAATTTATACCATGTAAAACCATTTAATGGAAGCGGATTTGCCAATTGGGAATTTAGAGTTAAATTGTTATTGTAAACAACAGGGATGTTTTAACTACTCCAATGCTTGAATCCTTGGATGCTCAACAGGCTACCTGGAAGAAAAATAATATCAAGGCAAAGATGTCCATTGTACAAAAATTGGCAGATAATATTCTTGATTCTGTCTAACTAAAAACTAATGCCAAGGAAATGATGGACATTTTGGAAAGTACTTTACACGAAAAGGGGTATATATCAAGTTATTTGCAGAAACAACTACGAACTTTGAAGTATATACAGAGGGAACACAAATGAGTTTTTTTTTCACAGAATTTGGAGATAATGAAGTGATTTTCCAGTTGTTATCTGCTATACCAGCAATAGACATCTTGTTTTGCCAGAATCAAAGTGCAGTGGACATAAGTTTTTTGTGGAAAACAAACTTCTAATGGAGGAGGCCCGAGAATTGAAGAAAAAAAAAATGAGGAAGGAACAAATACTGTTTTTCTGTCAAAGTACCTATAACAAAAGAGGTAGACGGAGAAAACCTGGAATATATAGAGGTAATTACAATAATCCTGAAAGTTACTTGGGAAATTCTGGGTGTTAATCATTCGTGTAATGAGACGGGCACAAAAGATCAGAATGTTCACATATATAAATATAGGAACAATGAATATAATGGCAATTACCGAGGAATTATCATTCTGGTCATACAGGAGATTTTAACGGAAATTTTTCTCACAGATATAATTCTAATAATGTTCAGGAAGCCACTCGGGAAGCGAGTAATGAACCGGTGGAGGAAGACATTACATTTTTATCATCAGAGGATTGTTTGGAAAATGCCTTTACTTGTCATGTAACACTGGAAGTATATGTATTTTGTTGTTGACAGTGGAGCGACAAATCATTTAATCACAGAAAAATTTGGAAAATACATTTAGGAAAGTAATAATGTATTTCATAAGATAAATAAGGCTTAACAAGGGCAAACAATCACAGCAACAATACGGGAAATTTTAAAATTACAAACCGAAACTGGTAAACATATAACTGAAATATGTTTGGGTATGTGACAATTTACTCAAAACAAACCATCAGATTGCCATTTGTAGATATATTCCGTAGGAAAGAAAAGCCAACAGATTCTTGAAAACGGTGTCTACTGATATTTGTGGGCCGATATCACCACAACATACGACGGTAAGTCATATTTTATCTCTTATATTGACCATTTCTCACATTTTCATGTAATTTTCTTCGTGAGCCATAAAAGTGAGGCCTTATCAAAGTGTAAAAATTATGTCGCTATGTATGGTTGAAGTTAAATTTAATTTAAACATGGAGAAATTAAGGTGTGACAATAGGGGTGAATACACATCACATGCTTTTAAAGATTTTTGTCAAGACAAGGGTATAAGAATACAATATACGGTAGCTTATAATCCAAAGCAGAATGGAGTAGTAGAACGTTTTAATAGGACAGTGATGGAAAGGGCTCAGAGTTTTATTTTTGATTAAAAATTGGAGAAATATTTAGTAAGTATAGGTACCTATCTAATTAACAGAGACAAGAACATTGGAAAATACAAAGACACTTGCAGAAATATGGAATTATGAGAAACCTAACTTGGACTAAATAAAGCTTTTTGGTTGTATATCAAACAATTTGAAACCAAAAGAAACCAGAAAGTTAAAATTAGAATCCAGACCAGAGAAATTAATAATGGTAGGATATGGTACATGGAGACCCTGGGGGGAACGAAGAAGCGTTGGCAGACCTCAAAAACGCTGGTACTCCGACATCAAGCGAACAGCAGGTCTAAGCTGGTACCAGGTCGTACAGAATAGAAATTCCTGGCCAAATCTGAGAGAGGCCTTTATCCAGAGGATGGAGAACGGCTATAGGAAAAAGAAGAAAAAGCACCCCTGCCTGTCCGGCGGTACTAAGTCTCCCAACCAAGAGACAATGATGGCAAGGAAAGGTTAACATCCTGGCAACGACCGCTGAATATTTTCACACAACCATAAAATCGTTCCATCAGATGATATACTGGAGGGACTATAGGAGTCAAATAGAATTTTATGAGGCTAAGCGAAGTGAAAAGAGAAGGAAGAAACTTCTTTTAAGTAAGTATCATAAAGGACTGCGACTTCATTCCGTGAAGCTCATACATCCACACGAATTATTCCAGAAATATATTGCTGTTACCAAGAGAATAAGTACTAGAGTCACATTTTGGAAACTTAAAGAGCAGAAAAGCTTGAAAATCATTTGAAAGAAGTTGATTTTATTCCAAATGGATAGATCGTGGAACATAGAAACTTTTAATTTTTCAATTCTGTAACCATAAAACTTTTTCCACTGATTTTGACCTAAAACAAGAAAGGAGAAGAATTATAAAAAAAAACGATCTAGAAGGCAAGTCAATTGAGGACGTCAATGATCAATTGATTGATGATCTCCAAAAAACAAAGCAAGCATGCAATGAAGACTCTGCGTCTTCATAAACAATAATTTTCACACCTTCGGGCTCGGTGTAAGACTCTCTCCAAAGATTGCTATACAAATGATATCATATGCTCAGAGGTGTTGCTTAGGGATAAAAATCTAAAACATTTCTGGAATTTTGTCAATGCTGGACCTGAGCTAGCTAATCTTTTCGGTGCATACTTTCATTCTGTATATTCAGAAAAAGCATGTGTCCCATGCGCCACAGCATTTCTGATAGTATAACATTCACATTCATGACTTTGAAATCTCTATCTCATTTATTTACGAGGAACTGTGTAAGCTACGAATCTTTCGTGGACCTGGCCAGGATTGCATCCTCCCACAGATGCTCAGCAGGTGTAGTAAGTAGCTTTATACCATCTCGGCCTTTGTTTATTTTGTTCAATGAATCACTTAGTAGTGGGGTTTTCCTGAGACTTGGAAGCGGAGTTTTATTTCGCCCATCCATAAGACCAGTGACAAAATGGATATTACCAAATACATGCCTATCAGTATCCTTAACACTATCCCTAAGGTCTTTGAGAATATAGTAACTAAATTCCTAACTCCTATATGATCAACCCTTGCCTTATCGAACAGCAAGCAGGTTTCCAGCCAAAGTGCTTAACCGAAACTAACCTCTCCTGACGTACCAGGATACGATATCAGGGATTCTTGAGAGCGGTGGAATTGTTCACTCCGTATATATCGATTTTGCTAAAGCCTTCGACCGTGTCAACAGCAGCGTCCTACTTGCGAAGCTTGAAAGAATTGGAATTTCTAGTACTCTGCTTGTGTGGATTAGCGACTACCTTAGGAACAGAACCCAAACAGTCAAGATCATCAACTTCTGCTCACAGCCCATTGGCATCCCCTCATGTGTACTCAAGGATCTCACCTGGAACCCCTGCTATTCAATATTTTCATCAACGATATTTCTTCTTATTTCATTAATAGTGAATTTCTGTGTTTTGCCGATGACTTAAAGATATTTGCCCGAGTCTCCTCCCACGAAGATTATGCCTCACTACAATCTGACTTGGATAGACACTCCGAATGGTGTGTCACAAGTGGCATGGAACTAAATGTCTCTAAATGTAAATTTATCGTTCTCTTCAAAAGTTAAAGCCCCATACAATTAGTTCACCACATAAACAATGAACCACTTGAAACAGTGTCTCAAC